AACTGCTCATTTCGGATCCCCATTTTCTCCAAGCAGTCGGAGTATAGGAGGTCCACTGAACTCCCATTGTCTACCAGGATTCAACACACGGTGTGGTTTCCAATCATGGCTTCCACCACCAGTGCATCGTTGTGGGGGAAGTGAACTCCACTGGCATCGTCCTCATTAAAGGCCATGTCAGTGTGGCTGTACCTAGGGGTTTTTACAGCGGAGACGCTCCAGAATCGTTCCTAGTAACCCCCTAGCCTCGTGGGCGTAGTCCTTCTGCGACCTCCTCAAGTCTCCTCTTATGTAGGGGCCGCCGAGGACAGTCCGTATGACGCCGATAGGTTCCTGGTCTTCTGGGTGATGGTTCTCTTCTCGGCATCGACCGTCATTTAGTCCACCATGGCCGGCGTTGCGAGGTCTTCGCTCGGCCCTGAACTCCTGTAGCCTTCCCTCGCAGATTACTCTCTCAATTTCATCCTTAAGGTCGGCGCAATCGTTGGTGTGGTGGCCGACATCGCCGTGGAACCTACAGAATTTCTTTTGGTTCCTTCGGCTGGGATCCGACTTCATCGGTTCTGGTCGGCGCAACAGGTTTCCGCGGCCGACCTGATTGAAGACCTCCTCGACGCCTACCGTTAGCTCATGGTAGGAGTCGTATTTTTGGAATAGCCGAGGCTTAAGGGCATCCTCCTGCCTTGGCTTTTTGGCTTCTGGAGCGCTCGACGTCGCAGCTGGCTGCTTGTCTCCGTTTCCTCCACCTCAACGCTTCTTACCGTCTCGCTTTGCTGGCGTCGACCCCTGTTCGGTTCCTTTATTCTTGTTGGACCTGTTTTCGGGGTCGTTGGCGTCTGCCTCCTCAGCGTTGATGTACCCTTATGCTCGTGCAAAAAATTCCTTGTAGCTGGACGGGGGTTTTCGGTTCAGCTCTCTCTTGAAGGGGGTAATTTTCTTCATGCTAGATAACGCCCCCATCAAGGCCTCTCTGTCCGTTATGTCCATCGTGGCGGCGACAGCTTCCCTGTATCTTGCGAGCCACTCCCTTAATGACTCGTCCAGTTTCTGATATATTGCCGTCAGATTCTGCTTTAGGGGGACGTATTTTTTCACCCCTATGAATTGGAGGGAAAATGCTTCCTTTAGCTCATCCCAGCTCGAGATAGAGTTTGGCCTTAGCGTCCGGAACCATCTTCGGGCAGAATCCGTCAAATGGTTCTGAAAGACTCAGCACATGATCTCCTCAGTGTACCCGTACAAGAGCATGTGCCCCGTGTACATCTCCAAATGGTCGTCGAGGTCCCCTCGACCATCATATGGTGGGATTGACGGCGACCTGTATTTGTTGGAGAGAGAGGGGGCCATTATCTCGGCGGTAAACGGATGGTCATGTGTGCGGCTGGGCATGATGTCGACGTTTACCACCAAATCCACTCACCCTATATTCTTCTTCAGGCCTGCCACGTCTCCCATCAGCTTTTGTTCCAGGCTGGCCATGCGTTCCATGATGGCGCGTGCTTCTTCCATTGAAAAGGCCGAGCTAGCTACCCTCGATGCCTCTGCCCTCTGAGCGTTGGGTCTGCCTCTGGCCTGGCCGCCCGCTTGTATTGACCCCGAGTCTCTTGGTGGGTTTCTTCCTGGATTTTGGGGCAGTACCTCGAGAGCTCGGAGTCCGGCGGCCCTTAAACGGTTGCCGGAAGAATGGGAAGGCCGAGGCCTAGGAGGGCCCCGGTTCCTTCTTAGATATGTGGGTGGTCACCAAGGTTCAGATTTCCTGCCATGGCAGGTCCCTGCAGCCTCGGGGCGTCTTCTAATGGCGGCATGGAGTTCCTTCCATCTAAGCGCTCAACCACAATCATTAGCCCACGTACCAGCTCGGTTAGAGTGGTTAGTTGGGCCTGCATCTGCATTGGATCCGGCCGTGGTGCGTCTGGAGGTGGGACTTCCTTTCTGACCAGGCGTAGATCTTCTTCCATCCCGTTATTCCCTGGATGGATAGTGGTTTTGTCCGTCGGGCTGTCTTGGTTGATAACTAGGTTGTTAGGGGTCGAACGTTTTCGTTCCCCAGCGGAGTCGCCAATTGTTGACGGTCAAATTTCACCAACAAAAACCGGCCGGGTTACCTCTTGGTTTCCCTTTGGATTATCGACTTATGTGTAGTAAACGTGTGGGTATTTGTAGAATGAGTGTATCGTGTGTTAACTAAGATGTGCACGAAAATGGATAACACAAGGAATTTATAGTGGTTCACTCTGTAAAATTAGAGCTACATCCACTGTGATTTTGTATTTATTTTAGGGAGATTACAATTTACAGCAATCGCTTTCTCTTACTCTCTTTTTCTCTTCTGGAATCTGAACCCCTTCCCTACTGGGGGTCTTCTTTCTTTTATACTGGACTTCCTTCGCTTGGTGGGTTTCCTTCGTAGGCAGAAGCACTCAAGTGCTCTCCCTTGTTAGGCCCAGACGTAGCCCACTAATCAGCACTGTTCACTCAGCCAATTAGTCTTCTATTACGGCTCTGTGCTTCCCTGTAATACTCCCCTGTCCCCTGTGGGGCGGTTTGAGATCTCGCATTTAATCCCTGCAGATGTCCCCCACTTTTGCACGTAACCTACCACGTCCTTCAAAGAACGTTCCCCTCGTCGCCAGTGACGTTTAGCAAGATCATCCTTCTTGATGGTTGATTCTGCGGTCGAGGGATCTTTGTGCCTCAAGCTCGATGGCAAGATCTGTCGACGCCAGAAGGAGTCGTCGCCATAAGTTGGACTTTGGGCTCAGGCTCTTTATAGCGGAACAAGAGCGAGCTGTAGGCATCAAGGGTTGTTGCTTGGCGGAGAGTAGTTAAGGCCACGTGTCGCATTATCGCTCGTCCATGTGTCCGTCACACTTTCCCACACAACAAATAGTAACATATCAACATACTTTGAGATTGTCAGCATAAACAGACTCTTCTAATCATTCTAAGATCCATCGTAAAATATATGTGTATCTATAATTTATAGCTTTGAAAATCTATAGACCGAAAATGGTTTGTCAGTGGGTTTTGTACGTTCTATTTTTGTGTTTTATTTATAAAAAAAAAAAAAAAATTAGCTTATCTATCACTTCACTTCCTTGGAGAATCAAGATAGAAAAGTTTTTCTTTAGGCTCCATTTATTTCGTTGATTCGAGTTTAAAATTTGAGTTTTACTATAGTAAAAAGCTCTCACAAACAGTCGCATCTCACTTTTTTGCTACAGTAAAAAGCTCTCACATAAAGTCACATCTCAATTTGAATTAAAAACTCAAATTAACAAACTAAACGGACCCTAATATTATCTTCTCTAGACGGGGAGAGAGAAAGAAAAAGCCTAACTCTAGTCTAAAGAAAGAAAGAAAGAGTTTCTCTGACAATTTAACTAGCGATATAATGACATTTTTTAAAATTTGTGCGAAATTAATAGATTTAGGTTTATTATAAATAGGTTTAAATTATAATTGAATTGATAATATAAATGTGATTAATAAATGAATTGTGTTAGGATAACTTCTTAATATAAAGTGATATGAATTGACACGATTGACTATATATGTCATCTATAATATAATGATATGTGATATTAAATAAAAATTTATATGACATATTAAATACAAATAATGTGAATTTTAATATTTATAGGTAAAATCCATTTATTTTTCTTAAAAAAATGATCTGTTGACCAATATACATGTTAAACATGTCATGACCATGTTAAATATACCATTATTATATTAGTTATTTATTCAAATATTAATTTAAACGGGTTTATGTGAGAGTTTTTTTACTGTGGTAAAAAAAATTAAATATGACTGTTTTTTAGAGCTTTTTCTGTAGTAAAACTCGAATTCTAAACTTGAATCGGTGAAATGAACGAGATCTAAGTACTTAATCAGTAATTAACCACTAAGTTGATAATAAAAAGAAAACCGACTACTTTGTTCATTTTACACAATTTCGACCATTTATTTAAAAAAACAAAAAAAACCTAAAAATGGCCAAACAAAACCAATTTTGATCAAACTAGCTAGCAGTGCGGAAACAATTCTAACCTTTGTCTTGAACACTGACACTGTTGAAAATTATTTTCTCCCATGACCAAACACTGCACATCATCCAAATATTCTAAATTTAAATGAAAATTTCAAAATTGCTAAAAAAAGAAATCATAAAAAATAAAAGAAAGAAATTAATTGTCACCATCCATAACCGCACTCAATGGTAAATTTATTAAGACCCCGTTCATTTCACCGATTCGAGTTTAGAATTTGAGTTTTATTACAGTAAAAAGCTCTCATAAATAGTCACATTTAACTTTTTTGTTACAGTAAAAAATTCTCACATAAAGTCACATCTGAACTTAAATTAAAAACTCGAATCAACGAACTAAACAGGCCCTAAATCTTTCTAATATGTAGATTCCTGCACAAATATGAAACTTTTGAAGGAATCCCCTAATTTCAATTCTATCAATAACACCCACAATAATGTGTCGAACTGTCCAACATAGAGATAAGACAAAATATCATAAAGGAGCGTTCATTATGCATCACTCATTTACATCCAACAATATTTAGTATCCATCAATACAGATTCATTTACGAATTTAATCCTAATACAAGTCCAAAAAACTATTACACGTAAAAGGAAATCCATAGTCTCGCTGGAGGGCATTACCAAGAGACAACTGAAAACATATTTGTAATCTAGCTATTATGACAATCTATACACCAATAGAAATACCGACTACTCGTATTTAGTATCCCTCAATACGGATTCATTTATGAGATTAGATGTTCACCGACTACAATAATACTAATCTTATATTTTATTTCTAAAATGTTGTTTTATAGTATGTTAAAGGAATTCACGTCATCACGTAGGACTTTAAAATAATCCCGTTAATCCAAGCAAGTAATAGTATGGCATTAATAATTAAAGCTACAGGGGATTTCTTATTGGTATGATGATCTTCTATAAAAGGGTGTTAAGTGCAAATACTTTTTCTCCCAACAAATCATCCTTCTTCTTCCCAGTCTTCTTTATTATCATATAGAAAAGGAAAAAAAAAATGTCGTCTGATCTCTATGGAAAGCTTGAGACAGATGTAGAAATCAAAGCTTCTCCCAAGAAGTTCCATGACATATTCAAGCACAGACCACACCACATATCCAATCATTCAAGCGACAAAATTCATGGTTGTGAAATACATGAAGGTGAATGGGGGACTGTGGGCTCCGTCATCTTTTGGAACTACTTCCATGGTAATTAATAATTATTAAATAAGCTCAAATCGTAATCTCCCTTTCTTCAATGGTAGAAATTTTGATATTTTCATCTCATGATGGTATAAAATGAAACAAGTTTTTATGGTAGCTAGAGAGATATGTGTGGTAGTATACTAGTGCATGTCTTTTTAGCATATAAAAGAAAATATATGAAAATCAACTCTTCCAAAATTTAACAAAAAATTTAATGGGAGTTAAGACTGTTCAAAATTATTCATGACCACTTGTATGTAATATAATTTTAGAATATTATGGATAAACCTCATGATCCATCTTTCAGGAGACGTTTGGTTCACAAGTTCAGAATCATGATTAATGATTGTGATTTTTGAAATTTAAATTTTTTATGAAAGAAAAATATTGTAGCGAATCAATAACTATTATCCAGAATCAGACCAGAACTCTAGAAACAAACGGAGCATTAGTTGTTCACTTTGAATTTCAAAATATTATTACGTATGTGAAATCTAGAACTCTTGAAACAAACGGAGCATTAGTTGTTCACTTAGAATTTCAAAATATTATTATGTGTGTGAAATCTAAACTTGATGTGTATGAAACCCTAGATGGGAAGCCGAGAGTCGCGAAGGAAATAGTTGAAGCCATAGATGACGAGAAGAATTTAATCACTTTCAGAGTGATTGAAGGAGACCTTATGGAGCACTTCAAGAGCTTGACTGCCACTATCCAAGCTAATCCCAAACCTGAGGGTGAGGGAAGCATTGTTCACTGGACTGTGGAGTATGAAAAGCATCACAGTGAAATTATAGACCCCCACACACTGCTTCAGTTTCTCTCTGATGTCTCGAAAGATCTTGAAAATCACCTTCTCGAGTATGAGGCTGAGGCTGGAACTCAAGCTGTGGTTTGAGAAGAAAACGTTATGGTGGTTTGCTTATGCTTGGTTGGAACAACTAAATCTACTGTACGTGTAAAATAAATTAGGTGGTGATCATATATGCAAGAAGTATGCATGCGTGTGTACATATTATATATATATATATATATCTATATATATATGTGTGTGTGTGTCTGTGTGTGTCTGTGTGTGCTTGTTCATCATTTTGTCACCTAAATAAGTATGTCTTGAGGAGATTGCTGTGTGTATTTCCGGTTTGGCAAATATTTCCAAGCGTTTATCAATATTTGGCATGATCTGTTTCTCTTATGGGTGTTTTGGAAATTCGTGGTCTTGGGTTTCTCTAATGTTCATATGAACAGATCTGATCCATCAATTAACCCAATTTTTTTTTTCTTGTTCTTTTTATTTTAATAAAAGTAATTAGCTGGACAACCTTACCCGTACATATCTCAAGATCTTAAGAACGTACGGCACAGCATTGATGATTCTTTGGTGTATTCATTAGTATAATCCATCCGAAGCCAAAATAATTGCACAAATGCCAGCAACGCACAATAACAAGCCGCACCGACAGCCACATATATTCATCTTATAGCTGTCACTTACAGGAAGCATCTGAATAAAAATTCAAAAATATATTATCTTGGCCCCCTCGTGGTTGATGCCGGACCAAAACTACGTATTGTAAAAATCTGAAATTTTCAGGCTTTGATCTCATTTATTTATTTATTTGTTTATTTTTGTTGAGAAGTGTTTTAGATTTTTGGTGTTTTGAGTGAATTTACATTTAAATATTTGTTGTTTTTTTTCTTTTTTTTTTTACTGTCTTAAAACAGGTTCGCAAAGGGTATTTGGCCATTTTTGAAAAGTTTTAGCTTGCGAGTTTAATATTTGGGAGTTTAGTAAGTTTTTAAGAGTACAGTGATAATCATAGCATTCACAAAAAGGGGATAGATGATGCGGTGCATAAGGATTTAGTCTTTATGGCGCGTTGGGAACATTTTAAAGTTAAATAAAATAAAATTTTTTTATTTTCATGAGTTTTAATGGCGATGTCTGATTTAGATGAACCTTTCTGAGTGGAAACGGTCCAATGGACAAAACTCGTCGCTTTGCCATGATGTGAGACGTTTTTCGGGTAAATTTTATCATTTAGGCCTCCAAAAGGACACGCGCGCACGGATGATCATAAGAATATCCTTTTTTTTTTTTTTCCTGGTCAACTGAAGAGAGAGTTTAACTAGTATCAAAGTAATCAAAATTCCAGATATTGATGCGAGCTTTTAGCACTTGAATTTTCTAAAACATCCCAAAAATATTATACGTTTTGAGCATTTTTTCTAATCATAACAAGAAGAAATCAAAAGATACGAAAAAGTTGTAAAATTTATTGATTACATTTGGAATTTCAGAATTATAAAATACTGATGAGTTTTTCTTTTTTCCTTGATGTCCTACCAATTAGACTTTCGAAATTTAAAAAAAAAATGCATATTTGACGTGATCTTTCGAAAATATAACTAGCAAGGCAAATATTCTACATAAGAATATATATCCTCTTTAATAAGTAATTGCATTGGATCGTCTGTTTCTTAATTAACAGGAAACGCGTGTTTGTAAATCCATAAATACGATCCACTTTCGTCATGCTTACGTGCAAGTTGTGATTGAAAAATAAAAGCATGGATAATATTTTAATTCCTCTCTTCAGCATGGGAAGACACAATCATAGAATTTGTCACCGGTGGCTTATATAAGGAGGGGAAATCGGGGTTAGATCCACAAGTTCCCGGTTTGGCTTATATATCTTTAGCTAAAGAGACAAAATCCTTCTAAAATTTTATATCATCACTAGAATATATACAACACAAAAATGTCGAATCTGAAGGGAAAGGTAGAGTGATACGACCCAGCCCATTGACTGGGAATTACCAGAGGAAGGCCCAGAAATGGAAGAGACAGAAAAGGAGGGCCAGCCCAAGTTGAGGAACAACGAAACACCAAAGGGCCCAACCCGGGTTAGAAGGCCTCTGATGAGTGCGTAATTTATGCACTCATTCGTTACTCCTTTAGCTAGTTTTGGCGTGTTTTTCCTCAAGTTATTATGTGGATTTGATGACTTTCCCTTGAGTGTGTAAGAAAGGGTGAAATTGCTGAGTTTTTAGGCATTTTGGATCAAAAAGACAGAGAACGAGGCGATATGGCGCCTTCAGATGGCGATGCGACTCAAAAAGGAGCAAAATCGAGCAAACCTGTGCGAAGGACCAGAGAGGGATGCGATATGTTGCCTCCTTTGTGGAGATATGTCGCTTCTTTTAGGCAATATGTCGCCTATTCTAGGGGATATGTCGCCTGATTTACCCGATTTTATTAGAAACACGCATTTTGCCCTAGTTTGGTGCAGGGACTTTTATGGAAAGTGAGAATTAGCTTCTTGGGGATGTGTTGGACATGCAATATAAGGAGGAGAGGCCGAAAACTGAAGGAAAAGGGGAGAAAAGGGGTTTGCAAAAGAAGAAAAAACTGAATCGGAGAGGATTCGAGGGAAATTCCAGCGATTCTTCAAGAATTCCAAGCGTTCTTCATTCTCTTCTTATCTTTCTTCTTGTATTTTTCTGAGTTTTGAATATTATTTTGAGATTGTGAACCACATGATGTGTGGCTAATTTTCTTATTTGTTAGGGTTTAGATGAATCTCTATTTGTGATTATTGTTTCGACGTTTTAATGTGCATTTAATTAAAGCTCTTCGTTTCTTTTGTGTTCTATTTTGAATTGTTGCTGCTAAATCTATAATTTACATATTGCTATGCTTTATGAGATTTTGAATTGGGCAGATTTTTATTGTGAGGATTAATACTCGAGAGGGGAATATTCAAGCAATCAAGAAACGGATAGAACAACTTAGGTTGGTGTGAGATCGAGAGATAAACATTGCCTAGGTAACCGAAATAATTTTAGGCTGTGAAATTGAGAAGTGGAATTCCATGAATTATTTTTAGAGCGGAACTTAATGAAGGTAGGGATGAATAGTTGTATAGAGATATAGGCTTGATATCACCTACACATTCTTCATGCGGCACTCGAGAGAGGGTATAAGGATACACATCACTCTAGGTTCTTGAGAACGTTGAGTTAGGTTAGGCACATTACTACGAAGAAACATAATCGCAATAGAATGAAGTCAAGACCTTAGCATTTTTATTATATTGATTTTTTGTTTTATTTTCAGCACGTGTTATTCATTACTGTCATTTTTTCTTTTGATTTAATTATCCTTTATTTTTAGTTTTTCTTTGAGTTTATCACATCTAAATTTGATCGCTTAGATAAAGTTAAGATATGATATTCACAATAGTTAGTTTACATCCTTAACTTCAATCCTCGTGGGACAATATCGGTTTTCGGACCACTTTATTACTTGTACGACTTGTGCACTTGCAAACATAGTCAAATTAGTTGCAACAGCCTCGTACGTGGTTAGGAGATTATGCCGTTTGAGTGGGAAGAATGTCGTAAGCCTGGTTAAGGGCGTTGGTCCTCGGGAGTGATGGAAGCTCCTGAATTCATGTTTTCGTTTTTGCTTTCAATTTCTGTTTTTGATTTCTGTTTTATAGGGAGATACGCCTCTGGCTCGGGGTTTACCGAGGAGGGGTATATGTTGTGTGGAGAAGAACATTATTGTTATCAATGAACTAGAAACTCTTTCCTTCTGTTTCCATCTAATTCTTTCTTCTTCTTCTTTCTCATACTGATATTCTGTTTTTGGGAGCTGACACTCGCTCGAAGAGTGGAGGATCGTTCAATCGGCCTTGTAAATTGCAGGTTGAGCATATCATAGAGACTGAAATTGAAATCAACGCAGGTGTTGAGAAGTACTACAATATCTGGAAACAAGCACACCACATTCCGAACATCGCCGGCGACCATATTGAGGGTGTTGATTGCCATGAGGGTGACTGGCGTACTCATGGAGGTGTTAAGAGCTGGAAATACACAGTAAGGCCAAAAAACCTTAATCATGATTGATATTTTGTCTTGGATCATTAATAATAAATTGGTTTTATACTTGTTTATAACATAAGTCCATTAACCTATTTTAATTTGGGCAACCTCTCATTGTATATTAATACTCCTTATTATCACAGTTTACCTAATGTTATGAGGCCTCAAAATTAACTCTTGAGTTATCATTTTTTTATCGGTAATTGATGTGTCAATCTTTTAAACACCTACTAATAAAAAAATGACAAGTGAGAATGAGTTGGTACAAGAGTTTGATTAGACTCGGTATTCCTAATATTGCTTATATACCGAAAGGATAAACTATTGTCACTAATTATGTTATCCGGTAATTGACGTGGCAATCTTTTAAATATCAATCAATTAGTACGAGAATTTGATTAGAGTTAGTATTCCTAATATTATTCTTTCCGAAAAGATAAATAATTGTGGGTAATTACGCGTTTTGTCTCATGATGATTTTGTTGTAAAAGCTCTTTAAGACGGGACCAGTGGGGTGTTCAAGGAGAAGGTGGAATTTGACGATGAAAACAAGGCAGTGATTCTGAATGGATTTGAAGGAGATGTGTTCAATGAATACAAGCTCTTTAAGCCAGTTTATCATGTGGTTCCCAATCCTAAGGGTAGAGGCAGCATTGCAAAACTGAGCATTGAGTATGAGAAGCTGAATGAGGGTGTTCCACCTCCAGATAAATACGTTAAACTGATGGTCAACATCAGCAAAGATCTTGATGTCCACTTTGGCAAGGCATAGATCATATAGATATGATCAAATTATTAAGGAAATATCCTTATGGTACTAAGTATTGTATAATTGTAGTGCTTTGGTTTGTCCAGTAGTTATGATACTTAAACTCCTAATTTGTGTGATGAATGTTTATGCTAATTACTTTAAGAGAGCTTAATCAGTTGTTGTATTAGTCTTGGTGAGGTCACCATCTAAGCTCTCCATGTATTGTACAAGGTTTTATAAGTTGATATGAAATAAGTCTTTGTAGATGTGTATCGTATAAGTAACTAGCACATTAGATTCTAACAATATTTACGGGCCATTTGGCAGCGCTTTTGCCCTTGTTTTTAGTCAGTAGAAAGAGAGAAATAAAAGCTATAATTTTTCAATAAGTGTTTGGAATAAAATAGTTTAATGAGTCGAAATTGTTTTTTATTTTTTTTAATAAGTAACAAAAGTATTAAAATTAAGTTTACAGCACCTTAATAAAACTTTACAACTTATTAAGGTCTATTCAAAAGTTTTTTTTTTTTTTTTATAAATTCATTTTATCTTTAATTAGAAGCTCCTTTAAAAAAGCTAAAGTACTTTTGACAAAAATATAAACACTTTCAAGGGCAGTTCTGAGAGTAGGAAGCTAAAAATAGCTTTTAAAAAGCTCTTCCAAACAAACTCTTAATAAGGTGAAACTTATCAGACGTTTGGTTAATGGATTAGAATCGTGTGATTAAAATTATTTTCGATTTAAGTGTATTTTTTATGAGAAAAAATACTGTAATAAACCATTAACCATGACTCAAATCATGAGTTGAATCCTTCAACCAAACATCTCCTTAATGTGGAGGAGCGTAGTTGTTGGAAAGTGAAAATTTTGGAAACTGAAATAGGGAAACAAGAAAATCGGGGAAGGTGTGTACCAAAAATATTATATTAAAAAGATGTGTACTTTACTCAGTAGAAAAACACTCGCAATACATCCGCCACTGATCAGGATACAATGCCTATAGTACTGATCTATTCTTCTAGTTTTCGTTATTAATAACTTGATAGCCAAAACTCAATAAATTCAGTGGTAGGTGCGTCGCCATAGGTTTGGGCGGTTTTTTTAGAAACCACAACTAAAATCAAAAATAAAATTTTCTTTTAGGTGGTTTCATATTTTTGACAAAAATTAAATTGAACTAAATCACTTATAAGCGGTTTGGACAGTTTAAGCTTAAAACTAAAAAAGTTTTCAATAATTCATAAAAATTGTAAAATTGTTAATCAATAAAAATAAAAATAAGATTCAAGTTTACAATATAACTTAAAAATAGTAAATGTCTAACACTTCACCATTTAAAGTTTTAATACAAACCAAGAAAAATATGATACGGTATATTTATAAGTGTAGAACTTTTATTATGACCAATAAAAGTTAAAATAAATATAAAAACTATTTTAGAAATTAAAAAGCTATATATGTATCTTTTTGAGCGGATTATTAGGCAGTTTGGACGGTTTGGGGAGTCTAAACCACAAACTAAACCGTCTAGAAAAATTAGAGTAAAAAGCCGCAAACCGCCTAATAATCTAAAAATAAATACTAATTTGGTTTGGTTTAGTTTAGTTTAAATTGAGCAGTTTTCATGGTTTGGCGGATTTTCTTAACACCTCTATTCAGTGGGTAAGAAAATATATGCTTGTACACAACGTCATTCATATGCTTCAATACTGAATATTAATATTGGTGCAAATTCTTTATAGATTGTTGAGTGTAGATATCAGGCTTCCCAATAATTACCAAGGAGAGGTAATAGTAGTTCAAATCACACTACAAGAAACAACACATTTAGAGGCAACGCTTTTAGCGACGACAATTGTCGTCTAAAAGAAAGATATTAGCGACAACACATGCCGTTACTAAACGTTATCATAAAGAGTGTGGGGGAGACCCTTGGAATTAAGAAGAGGGTTCCAGTATTAGCGACGATACAAGTCATCGCTAACCGTGGGGAACCATTATGGGGTGGGAAATTAACAAATTTGACGCTAAAAATGTCAATTTGCGCACCAGATGTTGTCAGAAAACTTTTGTGCCATCGCTAAAAGTCAATGAATCCAAAATTTCACTGAAAAAGAGGCGGTGAAATTTAGTGGCTCAAAGCTATTTTCAAAACTTTAAGAAGGAAAATTTGAAATAAGTTGTAGCAATATCAATAATTTAATAAATAAGTATTTAAATATAAAGTAAGAAATGTTCATTTTAATAATGTTATAATTTATTAATTAAATTATTTTAAATAATTTATTAATATAATTAATAAGTAAAAAATATTAATTTTAATAATTTCATAATTAATTAATCAAATTATTTTAAACAATTTAATTAATATAATTAGTAACTAAATTAATATGATGCAAGTAAAGATATGTAATAAATTATAATAATTGTAAAATAATAAAAAGTGAAGTAATAGAATTATAATGTTAATAATGTCATTAATTTATTAAGGCAAGTAATTAAAATTTAAAGTAAATTAAGAATTATTTTATGAAATTAAGAAGAATAATAATTATATTAAGTTACAAAAGTGAGAAATTATAATTTTGATAATGTCATTAATTTAATAATTTAAGAATTAATAAACTATCTTAGTAATTACCAACAAATAAGAATGAATAACACTTCCTTTTAAAAAAAGAATGAATAAAACTTGATAAGATTAAATAATAATATAGAGAATGTTGATAATAAATGAAATCAGTTTGCTCTATATCTATCTAAATTATTGAAATTCGGTGGCCTACATACTAAGATTATAGTACACAATCACTAAGAATTGTACGTGCGTATGAGTTTACCGTCTTTTTCATTTACATTTTTGTGTTGAATTTAACGTCAATGAGATTAATGTTCTTGGGAACCGTCGGGGTCATCGTCCGGGTATGGGACCTAAAATGACTCAACGGCATTCATCTTCTACTTCTTCCTCGTCCGGATCAAAGTTCGGGATGCCTACCGCAGGTTTAGCTCCAGATATGCAGCAGTCGCTTTCGAGTTTACAACCAAGTCATATGGAGTTGTTCAGGGAGATGATGAAGCTACGACCTGGAGTCGAGTGCACCGTCTTTCCACCCCCGTCACGAATTGTGCTTCCTAGGACCGACAAAGAAGATAATGAAAATGAAGAAGAAAGATGAAGAAAATGTTAAGTTAGAATATCAGGATCTTATTACAGTATCTTATCAAACTTGTACTGTTTCTTTTATTGTTAGACATTTGGATATATGTGTTTTTATCTATTTGTTCTGTTATCTGACATATGTTATTATTAGTACTATTATTATCTATCTAATTAAATTTCAATCTATTACTTAATTATTACATTTTATTTTATAATTTCTATTATTATCCACTTAATAACTAAGCTGCCAAAAAAACAAAAAATCAAAACAAAATACCAAAAATTAAAAATTTATAAAAAAATTAAAAAATAGTCGTCGCTATTTATCAGTACGAGTATCTTTTTGTGATGACATTATCGTCGCTAAACGCATTCCCGAATTTTTGAGATTGGAAAAATTGAAAACTTTATACAATGACTTTTTGGAAAGGTCATCACTAATTGTTTTGTTGATGTCACTTCCGATCAAAAACCTCGATTTGGAAATAGCGACGACTTGTTGTCGCTAAAATTTAGCGATAATATGTTGTCATCGCTAAAAAAATATTACTGACGAATAATTAGCGACAATAAGGCGTCGTGAAAAAAGTTTTAGTGATGAATTTGTCATCACTAAAACCCTTTTTTCCTGACACTACGGACATATACAAAGAAAGACTTTCTGCTTATTGTAAAGAAACTCTAATTGGGAGAATTAATTCTAAGCTAATTAAGATGAGAAGCCATATTGATAGGTGGTTCAAATATTGTTTGAGATCTCTAATGCAAGGAAATTGATGTATCTCTTATATTTGGTTTTTTCACCATTCAATCTTCTCATGATAAAGATCAAATCTGTGCAGTCATCAGGATCGTGCCTCTTTAAACTAGGTGTTATCCCCCTTCAATAGTGGAGTCATCAAAAAACTAAATGGCTAGTCTCTCCATATTAGAAATATCTAATTAGTGTGAAAAACATTCTTCAAAATAGTTAACCATTTAGCTAATAGTTGGAGTGTAAAAAAGCCATTAAAAAAACTAAACCATTATCTATTTTGATAAAAAAAACATGAAATAGTTAGTATGGTTGGCGTTGCTCTTATGTAATTATACGTATTGTTGAACATTAGCAGTGTTGTTGCATTTAATAGCATTAATAAAAAGAGAAAAGCACATGGTTTATCATGATTTTGTGCAATCCTATTATATTTATATCATTCTAAATAATTGGGTACTATTATAGTCGTTTAACTTTTCTTTATTAATTAAATGATAATTATTTATTTTTTAGTAAACTGATATAAATAATATTTTTTACTATTTAGAGTAATATTTCTGATTTGACCAAGATAATAGGAATGTCTTCGAAGGAAACAAAAAAAAAAAAAAAAAAAAAGCAGCAAAAGGGGAACAAACATTCCAAGAATTTTTTTTTTTTTAAAAAAAAAAAAAAGGTACAAACAAGAAACACTTTTTTTTTTTTGTGTTTTTGTTTTAGTTTTTTCTTTTCTTTTTTGTCTTTTCGAAATTTTCGTTACTATGTTAATTTAGTTAAAATTGAGGGACGTTGATCTGCTTATGCATGAATTTGATACATATTTGAAATGTTCGGATATCAAATTGATGGAGTTTAAAAAATATTCACCAATAGAAAATTTAACCAAAACGATCAATAAACCAACACGTGAAACATCATATTCTTTCTAGAATCACAAACTAAAGACGTTCCTTATTGATTGACTGAGCTTTATCATTAAATATTAGATTAGCAACATCATAGTAGTTTTCCCGAAAATAGTAGAAAATAGGCCAATATGAAAAGTTTAAGAAAGTATATAGGTCAATTTTTAATTATAGAAATTAATAAGCCATAATTTGTCAAGTTATGGTTCATAACCAGATAAGTTATGGACAAACTTGTCAAGTCATGGTTTATAACCAAACAAGTTATGGATAAAAACCGTGAATTATAGACAATAACTTGTCAAGTTATGGTTCATAACCAGACAAATTATAGATAAAAACAGTAATTTAACCTATTTATTAACTTATATAAACTATTGGTCTATTAATTTTGATTCATCTCAAGTCTATTTCTATATTACTT